TAGTCACCAAAATCCTTATTAAGGTCGCAGGCAGCCTCCTCAAAGTCCATTGGACATAGTATTCGACAAATAGAGATGAAGTTTCTATTCCTTGCCTTCTTCCTTCCCAATTAGCCTCTTACCAGTTTAGATTTTCATCCTTAGGCTTCTACCCTCTCCCAAGGCTTTATACTAAATATTTAAGTCTTAAATTTTTTGTAATGCCAAAATCAAAACAAGCAAAAAAACAAAGTAAAGTTTCTTATACCAACTTCTTTTAATTTAATCTACTAGCCATTCTAACACACATCTAGATTTATTAATATATAATATATTTTAATTAATTTTTATATATTATAAGCATTTACAGTATAATAGCGATTAGACATTTTGGATACAATAAGACTTTGGAACTTATATCTAGAGATTTTTGGTGGCTGTAAATGTAGAAAATAATGGAAGACTTTGTTTAGTCATGTGATGTTTGTTTAAGATCAAAAATTCGTCATCATTGATCCTATGGACTTTTTCAACTATTATCCATAGTTAAATTGTTATTTAACCTTAATATATAATGATTGTGCCTCGTAGAACTTGTTTCTAAAAAGAAGAGTAATGTCATAGATATACATATTTACTCTAGTAATTATCGATATGATTAGGTAGAAGTAAGTAAAAATAAATAAAAATAGATTAATTTCATAATATCTTCTAAAAGAGCTTTTTAAAAGCTTCATGGACAAAATTTTGACCCTACATGTATTTATAATTGACTTTTAGGTTATAAACTTTGTCAAAAAATTAACCATTTGTCATATATATATATATATATATAGATAGTTTGTGGAACAAGCTAACTATGTGGCATATATATAAAAAAAACTTACCTTGCAAGTTAAAATATGTAGCTTACAAAGTCAACACATGTTGGAGATTCTATAGAACATTGCCATGTATCTTCTAGGTGGATAATATATATACAAGCAAGAGTAAAGTCTTCTTCACTCTTATCAACTCCTTTCTTGATCTAATTTAGATTCAAGAGATCTTTAGTTTTCTTGTCTTTTGGTAATAGCCATTCTAATTTTTTTTTAATATATATATTTTCTTACTTATATTTTATCATACTTCTTTGAAAAAAGTCTCACTTCATTATTTGCTATCATCGAGTTCTTGTCCTTGATAACTTTCATGCATATAATAAAAGATGGATCATCTTTTGTTATATATAATATATCCATTTCTAATAGTAGAAAGATGCCAAGCAATAATACTAGCCAATATTAAGATTTTGAAGTTCTTTTTTTAAAAAAAAATACAGATATTCTTTCAAAGCATTGATCCTATGATTGTTTAATTGATCTACAAAAAAGAGCTCAACCACCATTTGAACCGATCTACAACTTATTTTAAAATGAATTGGCTACACTAAAGGAATATACTAATGAGAACTTGGCTAAAAACTTCATACTCCATTCAAAATCTTCAATAGGAGATCTAATCTAATTTGTGAAGAAAAAAGATATATCTCTATGGATGTGCATAGACTACCGAAGACCTAACAAGATCACCATCAAGAATAGACATTTCTTAGCTCTAATTTCAGGACTTCTTAACCAACTCATTTAAAAAAAGATCTATACTAAAAAAGATCTATGAGGAGCATAGAACTTAGTTTGTATCAAAAAAAGAGATGAGTAGAAGACTATTTTCTAAACTAAGTATGAAAAATTCAAATATAATGTTGTACCTTTTGGACTCATAAATGCACCAATTACTTTTTAGCATTTCATGAATGATATATTTTGTGAGTTTCTTAATGATTTTATTGTCTATTATTTAGACATCATTTTAATCTACTCTAAGAACATAAAAGAATATGAACTTCATATTTGTCATATGTTATAAAAATTTAGAGTTGCAAGATCATATACAAAGATGAGAAAGTGTTTGTTCTACAATACTCAAGTTCATTTTTTAGAATACATCAATTCTAATGAAGGATTAACAATGGATCCTAACAAAGTCCAAACTATCATAGATTAGAAGGTCTCAAAAACAGTCAATGATATATAATATTTTTTGAGATTTGCCAATTATTATCAAATCTTTATGAAGAACTTTTTCAAGTTGTGGCTCCTCTTATATGTATGATATATAAAGACAAACTTGAGTGGAGTAAAACAGTTGAAATATTTTTTGAAACCTTGAAGCCAATATTTATTTTTGCACCAATTTTGTATGGTATTGATTTTTTTAAAGCATTCTTTATAGAAACAGATGCATTAGACTTTGCTTTGGATATTATTTTATCACAAATGAAAGAAAATGATAAGCTCTATATGATAGCTTTTCATTCCAATAAATTTTCAATAGTAAAAATTAACTATAAGATCTAGAAAAAAAAGGTTCTTCTAATTATGGATTCATTACAAAATAGAATCATTAACTAGAAGGTACTTCTAATCCAATTATTATACATACGAATCACAAGAACTTCAAGTATTTTATATCAATATATGTTTTACATCATTGCCAAGCCCGTTGAAGTTTGTTTTTATCGAGATTTGATTTCAAAATCACATATAAACCCAAAAAACGACAAGATTTATGAGATGTCCTTTTTAGATGTTCTTATCTTGCACCAAAAGAAGAGAATGGAGTCTTTGATCAACAAAGAGCGATTTTCTTGAAGTTTGAGCATTTTCATCTTCAAGCGATTAAAACAACATTAGCTATTGATTCAACCTTTATCAAACCAATTCAATTAAGTATGTCTTTTGATCCTTCTATTTATGATATAAAGAATAGTTCTTTTAAGTCTCATGATACATCCAAGTTCAAATTCAAGAATAATCTACACTACTTCAAGAAACAATTATACATTTCAAAAGGCAAAGCACAATTACGTGTTCTTTAAGCTCGTTATGACTTTTCAACAGTCGGATATTTTAGATACAATAAGACTTTAGAACTAATATCTAGAGATTTTTGTAGCCTCAAATGTGGAAGGTAGTCAAAGACTTTGTACAATCATGTGATATTTGTTCAAGATCCAAAATTGTTCATTATTGACTTTATGGAATTTTTTAGCCATTATCTATTCCGAAACAACCATAATCTTGTATTTCTATAGATTTTATCATAGAACTTTCACTATCAAATTTATATGATTCTATATTTGTGATAGTAAATTGTTTTACTAAGATGGCATCTTTTGTATCATGTACAAAATCTATCATAGGTGAAGAAACAATTAAACTTTTTCTTGATAACATCTATTGCTATTATGAATTATCCAACAATATTATATTCAATAGGGAGACTAAATTTATATCAAGATTTTAGAGAATCCTTTTTAAGATTTTAAATGTAGATATAGAGCTCTCTTTGGCTTGTCATCCTCAAATTTATGGGCAAAAAAAACATGTGAATTAAGTTTTGAAGTAATATTTGAGGTGTACCATCAATTATCATCAAGGTGATTAAATAATTTTTACTATTAATAGAATTTATATACAAGAATTTAATATATTTTTTTTATTCAACAAACACCTTTCTTTACGAATTATAATTATCATCCATCACTTGATACTTTTGACTTTTCAAAAGTTAATAATTGTGTTGCAAAAAATTTGGCAAATTGATTGTTAGAGCTACATGCAACAATGAAGGCATAGTTAAAAGGAGCTCAAGAACAACAAAAGATCAATGTAGATGCCTATTGCAAAAAACAACCTTAATTCAATATGGATGACAAGGTATGATTACTTTGTTGTAACATCAAGACTACTTGTTTTTGTGAAAAGTTGGACTATTGTAGGCTTGAACCTTTTCCTATTTGTAAACAAGTCCATCATATTGCTTATCAATTATATCTACTAGAGTCTATGCAGATCCATCCCATATTCTACATGTCTCTTCTTGAGCCATATAAGATAGTGAATATTTTGGAAAGAAGACAAATGCTATCTCGTCCTATAAAAGTGGATAATATTTAAAAATTATGAGGTCGAAGAAGTCTTAGATTCAAGGCGGCACCAAAATAGGTTGAAATATCTTATTCATTTGTATGGATGTGATATTAATGAATATACATAGAAGCCAAAAACGATCTTATAAATACATCAAAGAGAGTTGAGATTTTCTATTAACGACATCCATCAAAAGCAATATAAAAAATTGCAAAATCCATGAAAGATGATGAATACTTCTTCTGGAACTTGTCTTTAGAAGGAGAAGTAATGTCATGGACATACATATTTACTCTAATATTTATTTATATGATTAAGTAGAAATAGATAAAAGTAGATTTATTTCATAATATTTCCTTAAGAAGCTTCATAGAAGCTTCATAGATGCTACTTTGACTTTGCATATATTTATAGTTCATTGGTAGATTAGAAACTTTGTCGATAAGTTATCCATGTGTTAATAGCTAGCAAAATAAGCTAATTATGTAGTGCACTTATAAAAAACTTGTCTTGCAAGTTAAGATGTGTGTCATGCAAAGACAATACATTTTGGAGGTCCTATAGGACATTGCCACATAGTTCATAGTTAAGAGTATATATAGAGGCAAGAGTGAAGCCTTCTTCACTCTTGTCAAATTTTTTTTAGTTCTTAGTCTTGTATTAAGACTTTCTAATCTTTTTGTCTTTGGCAATAGCCATTCTAATTCAATATTTTACTATCTTTGAGTAATTTCCTAGTCTTTTTAAGTGACACAAAAGTGTATTGAGATTTTCTTTCATTGAGATTCATGTCTTTGACAAAAATTGCTGAATCTCTACTACCAAATTGAAGAAACGTGATTCTTTGATAATTTGAGGAGAATTGCTGTGACTACCAATTCTGGCCACTTCTACGAAGTTTTTGCAAGTCCTAGCCCTTGGTATTTGCAAACTCTTACTAGGAATGTGCAATTCGAAGAGTTCCTGTTTCACTCATGTTCTGCCCAGGTTTAGGGTTTCCATGCCCTGACATGCTTTATATACTCGTAGAGTAGCCTGACCGGAGCAAAGTTGTTGGGGCAGCCCTGGTCGAGCAAGGTTATTGGTGGCAGCCCCCATCCGCGGTTGTAACTAGTTGGTTCCGTGAACTGTTTCTGTCCATCAGCACAGAGTCCCGTTCAAGCAGTGATTCAGCCAAATCGTGCAGTGGCGATGTGAAGTATGAGCTGAAGGTTTAGGGTTTAGGGCTGTATTTTGAGATTGCTCGTGTCTCGACACATCCGCGGAAGCCTCGAGTGACGAAGGAAAACTGAAGTAGACATTGGCGATGGGGTCGGCAGCAGCCGCAGCCGAGGACAGCAGCGCAGAGGAGAAGAAAGCGCCGACGTTCCGAAGCTTAGGCGTGTGTGAGCAGCTCGCTGAGGCCTGTGATGCCCTGGGATGGAAGGCGCCGACTCAAATTCAGGTGGACGCTGTGCCGGTGGCGCTCAAAGGGCACGATATCATAGGACTGGCGCAAACAGGGTCGGGTAAGACGGCCACCTTTGCTCTGCCGATTCTGCAGGCGCTGCTAGAAAACCCACAGCCCTTGTTTGCGTGCGTTTTGTCGCCAACGAGGGAGCTTGCGATTCAGATTGCCGAGCAGTTCGAAGCGCTCGGGTCGGGAATTGGGTTGAAATGCGCCGTGCTGGTGGGCGGGATTGATATGATGGCACAGTCTGTGGCGCTGGCGAAGCGCCCGCATGTGGTGGTGGGAACGCCGGGAAGGTTGGTGGATCATTTGACGAACACCAAGGGCTTTAGCTTGCGGACAATCAAGTATTTGGTGTTGGATGAAGCGGACCGGCTTCTGAACATGGATTTCGAGCAGGAGATTGATGAGATTCTTAAAGTCATCCCCAAGGAGCGACGCACGTACTTGTTTTCGGCTACCATGACTACCAAAGTTGCGAAGCTGCAAAGAGCGTGCTTGAAGAATCCCGTGAAGGTCGAGGTTTCTGCTAAGTACTCCACGGTGGATAGTTTAAAGCAGGAGTATCTTTTTATTCCCGCTAAGTATAAGGATTGTTACTTGGTTTACATATTGAATGAGCTGGCCGGAAATACAGCTATGGTGTTCACTCGCACGTGCGAGGCTACTCGGAAGCTTTCTCTGGTTCTTCGTAATTTAGGATTTGTTGCGATTCCTATCAGTGGTCAGATGAGTCAACCGAAAAGGCTGGGAGCGCTGGCCAAATTCAAAGCTGGCGATTGCAATATACTGATTTGCACGGACGTTGCTAGTCGAGGGCTTGACATACCGTCAGTTAATCTAGTCATCAACTATGACATTCCAACAAATTCTAAGGATTACATTCATAGAGTAGGGAGAACAGCTAGAGCAGGTAGGTCAGGGCGAGCGATTTCAATGGTATGCCAGTACGATGTAGAGCTTTATCAGAAAATTGAAGAGTTGATTGGGAAGAAATTGCCCGAGTTTTCTCATCAGCAGGAGGAGGTCTTATTAATGTTGGAGCGAGTCAGTGAGGCACAGAGACTGGCCACCATGCACATGCGGGAGAAAGATGGTGCAAAGAAAGGCAAGAGGAGAGGACACGGTGACGACGATGGCGATGATAACAGGGGGCCTGGACGGCCGGAAAAGGGTGGTACCAGGCCTAAGAAGCAATTTAAGAAGTCCCGGTAGTGGACCCTTTTACAGGTTCTTATCACAGTATCTCTCGTTCAACTAACATAAATTCAAAGCTTTTCAACCTGCTTCACGTCCGCGATGATACCAATGTTGGGTATCTAGATAGAAGTGTGGATTGCAAACATGCACCTGAATTACCACAGACACTAGTTTTCTTGGAGCTGCTGGATTAGGATACTTAAAAGAAGGCCATTCCACTGCTGTCTTCAGAGCAGTCGGACAGCTGCACTGATAAGTCGTCTTTCGTCTATCAATTTCTAATTTCTAGAATGGATTCCCGCCTGCAGTGGCTCCCAGAGTGGACACTGCCAGCCTGGTGGACGGTTTCTGATCACCCTAAATCTGATCTTGAGTGGACTGAGTATTTTTTAAAGTGTAGACAATCTATATTTGCGGTGTGCAAAAACCTTTTCATTGTTCTACTTTTACAATTAGCAAGAGATCTTATGACAACGTGGGTTTATGAGAGTTTGAATGAACCGATTCTCCCACGAGCTAGTGCATCATTTGTGTACTATTTTCATGCATCATAACTTCTGCATTTAATGGGCACAAATGGGAAATTGAACATGTTGGTGTGTTTCTACAACCAGCTCTGGACTCATTGGCTTGGTGACTTCAATTATACTGATATTCAACAAACGTCTCAGAATCCCTGTCGTACTATTCTGAACATACTTACAATTCTCTATCATATGTTTATTGGGAGACGAGCGGCCAGCAGTTGTGACTCAAGACATGAATACATTCAGTCATATCACAAAAGAGAGATTTGAAAATCACTTCATTAAACTTTTCTAACGAAAGTCGATTTCTTGCACTTTCAAAAAATTAAAAAGAGACGAATCTTGGGGACATAAACATTTCCTTTTCACGACACATTTGTATCAATACCTATGAACACTTTTCCAAATGTATGTATCAAGTTCATAATAAATGTAAGGATGTAACATCCCAACAGCGAAGTGCCACTACAAGTGATGAAAATTTTATTTCAGCCAGTAGCATTACAAGAGGAATTTCCAAGCACAGACGAAAAAATTGAAGAGCTTGAAAAAAGTAGAGAACATCTGGTCTACCATGTAGAACCTAGAAAGCTATCTAAAACTCATCGTCATCCTCCTCAGCAATATGCTTTGCAAGCTCCTGCTCTTGCTGCTGACGCTCACGGCGCTTTTCAGAACTCTCCAATTGCTTCTTGTGAGCATCAGGAGGAAAACGCAAGGCTTTCACCGCTTCATTATGTGTGTTCAGACAGAACGCAATTCGAGAGTGGAATGCCTGTTGAGGTTCCTGCAATCATGAAAACCACATGACTTCAAATCATAGCAGAATAATCAGCCACAAAAGCTGTAGAAATCAACCAATTGGAATCGACGTCACCTACTTCAGTTCTAATTCATAGAACCCATGCAAGTCAACCTCAACTACTCAAGCAGTTCTGATCTTTTATGATAAAAAAAAAATCCCTTCCCTGTATGTCGCCAAGTTCAGCATACCTGAGTTGAGTAGATGTCGCTGGTTTCTTTTGACTGCATCCAGCCATTAGAGTGGTCAACACTAGCATCAATTCCTCCATCCCGAATGGCTTTAGTAACAATGCTCTCGGCATCATCCACAGGTGTAGCAGAATCAAGATGTAGTTTTGTGGCTACATCGGCTAAAGAGATACGTGAGTAAGCAATACTGATATTTCGAAGTCCCGTTCGAATAACGTTATGTCGCAGGCGCACAATCAGATTGTGGCACTTGTCGGCAGTAAAAACACTTGAATACTTCTCAGCGACTTGGCGAAACAGCTCCAAATCTCCAATACGCACAGCCTGCCATGCAGAAGGTTCATGAGATCAGCGTACCAGTAGTAGAAGATGAGAAAGGACGTATCAAGTGTGTGATGGATTCCTCAAGGGTAAAAAAGATGAACAGTTCGCGGCCGAAACCTACTACAACAACAGCCAAAGACTAATCAATTCACAAGTCAATCCTCAACAAACACATCAAAAAATGATAAGTTAGTAAAGATGCACACATTGGTGAGATCGAAGTAGGGTCGAAGAGCCTTGCGCATCCCTGGCTGCATGAATGTTGTGCGTTCAAGAATTTCGCCCAAGAGAAGGCGTACAATAACTGCCCACTTCGTACACTGAATTTTGAAGCCTCTAGCACTAGTGGGGGCCTTTCGCGCTGCTTGCAGCAAGCACTCCTTGGCATCAGTATACTCTAGTTGAATTGTTCGTATCTTTCCCAAATAGTAAAGGTACCGACAAAGCTGCACAACAGAGACATCCATGTCAGGAAAGATAAATAACTCCATTGAATAACTGAATATATGTCAAAAGCGTCAACCATCACCTACCTGTTGGTTCGAATGAGAATCGGATCGTTGAGTTTTTGACCGAAGCTTCTCCGCATGATCATAGAGATTGTAATGCAGGTAATTACGTAGCAACAAGTTCAATAATGTTTCCTGCTCATTCGAGCAAGTTCACCAGATATCAGTCAAAAAGAACGTGGGTTTCCTGCAAAGTTTTGATTTTCCAAGCGCCACTCTTTTCGTAAACAAATCTATCTTTCAATTAACCTATCAAATATGCCTCCTCACAACCAATTGATGCACACTGAATTATGACAAAACCAGCAGGAAACTTAAAAAGACGGATCGGAAAGAAAGGACACCTGCCCCAGCTCATCATGTCGAAGTGTAGCCGTCTGGTGTAAAGCAAGTAAAGTCCTGACAAGAAAAGAACCAGGATCCTACGTTAGCTTATAAGCCTCCAAACGACACGGTTATAACTTTAGACAAGAGCCTGACCGTCATTTAGTAAGAAAAATCTCACCCACGGATGTCAGCAAGAGAATTTGTCAGCTCGTGGCTATAGGAGTAATAATAGTAAACTCGAGCAGCTAAAACATCCAGAGTTCGACGATTTAGCTGTTGGAGTCTTTTGACAGCTGCTGATGAGCAAGTCTTTGACTGCAACCAAAAAAGCACACAGAACTCATAATCATGACCCTCTCTGGGGTGGTCGCAACACTAAGCCTCTGATTCTGTGGTTTAATCAAAGAACAGCCACAACCTCACAAAAGTTTCACTCACTTTTCACATATCTTAGATATGCTACAGTTTTAAGCTTATAAGCTCCGAACACATGAGCTGAGGAACGGACAATGAAGTAAAGGACATGGAAAATTTAGGAGTGCGCACCTCTTCTAGCTGCTTCTGATCAATTAAAAAGATGGTAACCAACAAGTAGCAAAATATTTCTACTTCAGGTAGCCCCGATTGTTTCTGTGAAACATGGGATTGTCCAGAGATTGGCGGGGTATCCACGTCCATGTCTTTCTCATTCTTTGCAATCTGAAACGCGACAACAGAATAACTTCTTAGGACTGCTAATCGACTACCTTGTGCTTGAGAAATGTAGATGTATAAACCACATAACAATTACTGAAGAATACAGACTTAGTTGAGGACACACGAACAAAACAGTGATGATTAAAATACTTCTTTATCTTGCATTGTCACATCTTCAATTATGAACAGAGTGACGCGCCTCAAATTTAGAACTATGAAACTTTGTTCAACAACACCTTAGATCCAGAGTGTATACCCCAGCGACAAAGGGCGATAGACGAGCTAGGGCGTCAGAACCAGCCGGGAGGGCATGCTTTAAGAATGCGTTCACAACAGATGCATTCAACTGTCGGCGAACAACAAGCATCTGGCGATTGGCTCGAGCCATCAACCGCATCTCCTTGTTCGATACTCCCTTCTCTATTGAGGTGATCACTACCTTCATCTCTGTAATCCACACGCGAAGGATAAACAACATCAATAAAACACCGATACCAAGCCATCATCGAAGGCCAAATCCTCAATACCGGCTGCTACCCCCTCTCAAACCCTAACCACATCGAAATTCAGCTCCTCACAGCTAAAAATCTCATCATTCTCACACCTCCGCTCTCTCCCTCTCCACCGTCCAAATTAAACCACCCTAAACTATCCCTCCTTCGACACACCCGTCCATATCTAATCATTCGTAAATCGAATCTATCATCGAATGCTTACATACGAAAAACCACCCTAAGCTCATCAAACTGCGACCGTCCATGAAACCTAGCCCAACTCAAGGAATTATTTCTGCAAACGCAAGAAGGGCGATTGGTTATTCTCACGCGACAGAACCGAAGGCGGTGCGGGGTCCGCAGGCTTCATGTCGACCTCCTGACCCATGTTTGCAATCGCTAAGCTCACTCAACACTCTACCAAAATGTTGAATGCCGCTGCAGCTGCGAGACTTTGAAAGCCAAACCGAGAGGTAGTCTAATCATGGAGAAATATGAAAGTCGGAGGAAGGATGACGAACACAAATCGCATTGAGACCCGGTGACCCAATCTAGGAGCTATCGGACCTAGGCAGTTGAGATCCTGTGTTTAGTTTCTGAATCAACGTGTTTTCCGGGTATGGGAAGAAATTTTGCTCGCACCAGAGCAGCCCTACTTCTCAGTGGTGGGCCCAGAGCTCAACTTCAAAGGATTGTAACCTTGTACGTGTTCGCCTCTGGCTAGAACGTTCATTTCGCTTCATGTTATCTCTTTTTGGGTAGTTTTATTTAGAAATGTCATCATCTGTAACCAAATATCTCCCCCTAGTTCCCACCACCATGTCTTCAATGTTGTGCGACGGTGTTGCCAAGTCAATCGTATGGCGTTGCTGAGAAGATAATCAGCCACATTTTCCATAGTTTTCCTCCAGTTACTGCGAGAGCATGTGGTGGCGTTTCATTCAGGAAGAAAGAATGTCAGTTCAGTAGAGTCTCTACACTTGCATGTGCATTATGCAACAGTGTGTTTATCGATCTCCTGCCGATCTTGTTGCCGCAAGTTAAGATTCACGTTCTGTACGTGGGTTTCAGCTCCCATGGTTTCCAAGGCCGTGGTGCAACGAGTCACATCTATACGCATTGAGGTCGTTTTTGTGGCCTTCTCGCGGCTGCATTGTTGGAGTCTTGCCTAACTCATGGTGCAATGTATTGCTTGTAACTTCCTCTAGTCAATTCGGTTATGAAGAGTGAGCTTGGTGGAATATGACAGCAGATGCATAGTTTGCAATGAAGTTGCATTGTTCATTTTCCCTTCACATAAGAAAGTTGTTCAGGGTTGTAGCATGCGTATGCGGATGTGGTTATGGATCACCTTGCACCTCACTTTCTTCGTCTTACTCAACCATGGCAGATTTCCGAGTGTAGTTGGTTAGAGTTGACAGTCTCGGTACTTCTTTAACAGTTCAGTTTCTCATCTTCGATCGCGTAGTTAAGAGTTGGTAGTGGGTATGAAATTTTGGGTATGAATTGGCGGGTGGATGGTAAAATAGCATAAAAATTTGGCCCTAGCTCGCTGGTGCTTGTGGATCTTCTCGACTTCATTACTAAAATAGACTCCGACCCATATTTGTGTCAATCTTCCAGTTTCTGTCACTGCATGAAAACTTCAGTCTATTGCCATTGCTTACAATTTCAGATTCTAATTCTGACGCTCTCCTGTGTACCGTCCTGTAATCTCTTGAAATCACTTTGTCGAATTGAGGATTGCAAGCTCATCTCCTCCGATTCTTTACGAGAACTGAATCAGTTTTTCGGTTCTTTGTTATGTCTCTACTTTGATGTTATTAAAATTTCAGCTATTGAAAGGTCTCCAATATGCATCTGTCCAGCATCAGAAGACGAGCAAACCGTGGGATCAGAGCGTTAATTGTCTGACTTTTTAGTTCATTTCTTTCTAGGGCTATGATTTCCTTTGTGTGATTGTTAATTCGTGTTGCGCCTTGTTTTGTTGAAGAGTTTATGGAAGTAAAGAAAAGTCGTTCATGTTTAGAGAATTGGAAGAAATTGATCACCTTACAGTTGAGGAGTCTTTCTAGGGTCAAAAGATAACGAAACTTATGCAGATGGGGAGAAATTGATGTGAAATTTGACATGGTAACAACGATTGTGAAACGATCTTGTCTTCGAGTTGTTCACGATCACATGGCACCTGCGTAAAAGAGTCATTTTACCTGATCAAATTATTGCAAGTACAGCCGTCTTCGTCGAAATTAGAATGTCAACAATACACTTATTGTTAGATTCTGCAGGTGATGCAAAAGAATTATGAAGTCTTGCTCGGCAAGTTTCCTTATGCAGATTTGTTCTGTTGGGGGAATATCTTAGAGATCATTCCATGCATATGTATTTTAGTATTCGTTGAATGGGTGGTAATTTTTGCAGCAGCTAATTCACTCTGGACGGAGCGTTGAAGACAACAACCCTGATTTTCATGTAGCCATGCCCTCTCAGCTTACCAGGCCATTTTTCGTGTCTCTTGTCCAGACTTCAGGATGCTTACAAGCCTGACGCTGTAAAGGAGAACAGTTAGATTTCAAGCTACACCGAAACAGGTTACAATGTGTAAAATTTTGGAATTCGACTTTGCGTTGATTTGTTGAGCCATCATTGAAGGATCTGAATGCATTACTTGTATTCTTGCAGACTTGGAATTTTTAGGCAAACATAGCACTCCTTTTGGACTGTCATATTTTAATCTTGCTTGTAGATCATGCCTTCTGATATACTGGAGCAGTTGGATTGTGTTTGGTGCATCTAACGCGGAGAAGGATGAGGTTTTAGGTTTATTGTAACTTGTGTAATTAAACAAGGCTACTATCTTCATCAAAAGCGGGCATTCCCAGGTGTTTTTATGCTCTCGGAAGGGGTTAAGCAATGCCCAGGTACATGTGTTACATGGAGACCCCATGTCCTTGAATCTTGATGCTTATCAAGTATCCTTTGATAAATCTAGCATATCAGCTGACTCTTGGATGAAGTGAGTGCTGAGCTCGACATGGTTAGTTTGGCTACATCATCAACGATTCATATTGCAGTGCCTAGACTGCCTGGACTGCACATAGTCATGCTGACTGCTGCAGTGTGCGCATTGTATCTCACAGTTCAAACGTTTGAAAAATAGAATTTTGAAGAATACCCATTTTCAAGAATGTCTGCTACGTCACAAGCTGGAGTGAGACTCCTTATAATTCCCAGATTCAGTAAGAATACTAGGGCTTGTATGCACAAATGTGCTGAATTGAATAGTACTCAAAGCTGTCATGCACTAGACAATATCCTTCCACAAAAGAATCTTATCCTATAGTTGCGGAAATCTTTGACAGAGAACTTCTCGACACTTGCCTAAAATGGGTCATATGCTAAAAATCTAATTTGAAAGCTATACAAGGAAGCAACTGCGGAAGGTTTCACAGGCAATGATATTCTTCAGTATTCTACATCACATTGGCTTTAGAACTTGGTATCAGAAGCAGATGTACCAAATCTCGAGTCATTCCTCCGAGAGGTGTATGTTATTCTGCTTGAAGCACATCTAGATCACATCCACACAGGGTGTTGATTTTTGTAATAAACATCTCTTTTTAGTTATCTGTGTTGGTAGCAATGTCCAGACTTGCATGAAACTAATTGAGGAAGATTCAGAGTCCGACTCCAATTCAAAGCGAGAGGGTCAGAAATGCAAACTGACAACCCGTGTAGAAATGTGGTACTTCGCACCGCAGTTTCTTATGCAGCAAAGCTGATCATGAATAGAAGCACAATTAGTTGCCGCAGACAGTCATTATATGATCAATGTGAAAGGTCATGGCAAGTGCTTCGTTCCCTTTTATAATCGCAACAACAAAGCCACGCAGGCGTTGTTCAAACATGTCTACTCTGGCCTGATCAGTGAGCTTGTAGCTTCTTGAACGACGAGATCCAGGTCGAAGTCGCAAACAGGTTCTTGCAAACAATCGGAGACAACTCCAGAAGGCCAATTCACAGCCTTCACAGCTCCATCACAACCAAGGTTTGTTGCCAATAAAATGTCACCCGTTTCAAAACAATCGAGCTCTTAACTAACTTTTTGAATATCGTCCACATGTTGAGGGTACTCATCGATACAATGAGCCCACGGCGACTTCTCCGAGGGCTTGATGTTTCGCAATGCCTGCCAGACAGCGCTATTGCACTTAAACCCGCTCCCAAAGGCAATTTGCCACACTCGGTTGCCTCGCCGCATGCGCCCCTTGGCCTCCATGTATGCAAGCTCGTACCAGATCGAAGAGGAAGACGTATTACCAAATCTGTGGAGGGTCATTCGTGACGGCTCACAGTGTCCGGGAGTGAGTTGCAGGTTCTTCTCAAGCTCGTCGATCACGGCCCTCCCGCCGGCGTGGATGCAGAAGTGGTCGAAGGCCAGCTTGAAATCAGGAATATAAGGCTTGACCTTCATGTTGAAGACTTTCCGAGCGACGAGGGTGCTGAAAAAGAGCAGCTGTTCGGAGAGAGGAAGCACGAGCGGGCCTAGCGTGGTGATGTTGGCTTTCAAAGTCTCTCCAGCTATTGCCATGAGGTCCTTGGAGAGGGAGACACCCATGTTGCCCTGCTCGTCCTGCTCTTGGTAAACGCAATTGTAGCACTTGTCATCAGCGCCCTTGTGGGTCCTCACGACGTGGTTGAGCTGGTACTTGGACCGGGAGCCATCTCTCCGCTTGTTAGATAGCAAGATCGCGGCCCCACCGACGCGGAACAAGCAATTAGGGATGAGCATGGATCTCCGGTTGCCGAAGTACCAGTTCTGTGTGATGTTTTCGGTACTCACAACAATGGCGTAGGTGTTGCCGTGCACTTGGAGCATGTCTCTGGCAAGGTCGATCGCAATCACGCCTGCGCTGCATCCCATTCCGCCTAGATTGTAGGTACGGATGTTGCCACGCATGTGGTACTTGTTCACGATCATGGCGGAGAGGGAAGGCGTGGGGTTGAAGAGAGAACAGTTCACGACGAGGACACCAACATCTTTAGGTTTGATCTTCGTCTTCTCGAAAAGTTCGTCGAGGCACCCGAACATGACCTGCTCGGCCTCCTCTCGAGCTGCTTTCATGCTCGGGCAAGGAGGCAGGGAGTGCATCGCCGCGGGTAGGTAAGTCTTGGCACCAAGACCCGACCTCTCCAAAATCTTCTCCTGAAACTCCATGCTCTTCTCGTCGAAGAACCCCGCGAGCCGTGTGCGCTCCATGAACAACGGGACCGAGACTTGTAACTTCTCGTCCGGGAGATAGCATGCAAAGTCCACGAGAAAGATGGGCCTGGGGCGCGACATGAAGTAGACAGTTCCCACAAACACCAAGAGGGCAGAGCATGCAATCACACTAACCAAATTGAACTGCAGATTCTCCCAGAGCTGCCACAAGTCTTCAGGGCCCATACGGCCGGCTTCCAGGAGGATGGCCAACAGAAGCGGGATGAAGAGGAGCGTGAGTAAGTGCGTGATCAAGTAATGGTATCCGAGCTTCACATACTTGAGATTCACAGATTGCAAGAAGTCAGGAAGACGACGCCGGGGGGATACGTGCACTGAGACACGCTCCGCCTCTCTTGTGGGAGCCTCCTGGATCGGCGATGGCGCCATGGTGGTCTGCTGCGCGTAGATTCTCCCTCCTACCACATCCACCAAGACAACCACCAACAAGAATCCCACTCAACAAACAAACACACACTAAACTACTGCCAAGCTTTCACGAGGCAAAACAAGATCATTTCGCACAAGCAACATTCCAGAAATAGAAGTTAAAGTCCAAGAAGAAGGAGCAACGCGCACCTCACTGAGAAATAATGAGACAATGCGCCTGATCTCTACCACTCGCAACCTAGCGCCGTCGATGGCTCAACTGTCACAGTCCTACCCGCGGCTCCGAATCCTCCCTCACCGACAACGGTCGCAACCTTCCCCACAGCCTCATTCATTTCTCATGACTATCAACGCTCCAATCCAACTCACCCCCATCTCAAACCCTCTCAAGAATCACGAAACCCAAGTCTCTCACCACACCACATAAACCCACAATCCCCAAAATACCCTACTCTCCCAAAAATTCACACATCCCGCGACTCACATCTGAACAACAACAACAACAACAACACTAAACCGAAAAAACCCCAAATCTAATCCCCTCAACGCAAACCGACACTCCAGATCTAACACACGTCGGGAATCTAGCACTCTCAGTCACTCTCTCGCTCTAAACACCCGTGAAAAGAGAAGGAAATCGCCCCCCGTGCATTCAAATCCGGATCCCAAGTCCGACGATGGCAAGCTCATGGTCACAGCGTCGTTATTGTTATTCTGCTCTCTCTATCTCTCTTTCTCCCTCTCTCTTGCTGCGAATGGAATGGATAAACATAGCCAACTTACTCCATTCCCCTTCTACTACTGCTCCTTCTTCTGGTTCTTCTGGCTCCTCGTGGAGCTGCTGCTTCTGCTACTGGTGCTCCTACTGCGGCGATAGTGGGAAGCATGTCAACCGCGCACGCGACGACGCCCGGGACGGGACGGGTTTGGCCGGACCGGGCGCGGGAAGAAGGGGCGGAAGGGAGGGGGTCCAGCCCGGCACAGAGCCTGAGATAGGTGGCGGGCAGTGAATGGGCCTGACCCGGGTGAGCTGGAACGAGGGGTGGGACGAAAGTGCTTTGTTGGAATACGGGGAGACTCGTGGCAGGCTGGGCTTGGGCACCCCCCTCCTTGGTCTGGAAGGTTCTGGATGAATGCTGTATGTCCTCCGTTGTCGTTGTCTTTGTACTCTGCTTCGTGGAAGCTGCGCTGGCCCCCTGACTGCCAGCTCAGCTTGGTTAATATTCCTTGGAGAAAGTTTGTTGTTGTTGTTGATGTTCCATTTTCCTTTGCTTGTTCAAAGTGGCGTTCTTCTTATATATATATATATATATATATATACATATATTTCCTTGTAAATATTGGTTTCATTTAGGGTTTTTACTTATATATATATATATATATTACAAAATTATATTGTGGAGATTGAGACATAAAAAAGAAAAGAAAAATTTGTTGTCATATATTTAAGAAAATAAAATAAAAAAATAGATACCAAAAGAAAAAATTGGTAAATATAAATAGTTCTTTTGAGAATGAATTCTTTTGGATAATCAATGTTTATTTATTTATTATTTTCAATTTATCAATGTTTCACATGATGTCTGAAAGAAGAAATAATTAATATACATATACAGAGAGAGTTGTTAAAGCCACATCTCTCTTTGCTATTTCTATGTTCCATCTCATTGACTGCTTTTTGTATGTGTATGTGAGAGAGATTTGTTGTGCTTTAGTTGTGACTTTATTTCTTTCAATGTGAAATAAGGGAGACAAGGTAAGAGACCACAACTTTTGGCTGAAAATTAAGAAGCTTTAGCCAATCAAAGAATTTTAGAATTACAGCTCTCGTCTCTTAAATATAAAGAGCTACCAACTCAACTTGCTTTAGCTAACAAAGATAATGAAATGATTATTCTTTAAATCTAGATATTATTTTCTGTTTATATATTTTCTAAATTCTCAAATAAATATAAAATTGATAATACAATATCAAAAAAGTTGATTCGTTTCTAATTTTGGAACACGATTTCATGTAAACTTTTTAAGTTATATTCATGGAAATCATTGTTCTAGAGAATGTTCATCCTTATTTTATAATATATTTCAACTGGTACAGAAATTCAGTTGATGTTTGATAGTATAAATGTAATTTTTTTTTTTGGAGGAAAGAGATACTTTTATAATTAATGTTTATTACATTCACATCATATATCAAATGAACACACAAATTATTCGGAAGCAATCTCTACGTCAGCAACATGATGTAATTTTACACATTTTGCAGTTGCAAACAAAGCATTCTCTTATTCACAGATAATGTTTCAATAAAAGATACTAGTTACACATAGATTCATTCTTCAGTTACACGTTGTTCTTCAAATATCAACTTATTGTTGAGTATTGTCATTTTAACTATGAGTACAACAATAACTGCAGATGTTGATTCTATCAGTCTATAACTGTTGTCAAAAAAGAAGAATACTACGATATGCTACCCCTTAATACACTATTGGCGACCATGACGACTAAGAAGACAAAGGAATACAGATGACCAAAATTTAAAAACAGGGAAAGTGCAAGACTTGCAAACAGATTTGTAAATACCAACACATTGTTATAACGAAATGTTATGTTTGCTGATAACAAAACCCAAAAACGTTAAGATTTATATCAAGGTTTTGACAAACACGACAAGCCATCTTTAAAGAAGAGGAAGAAGTAATGACTTACAAACACTTACATATTAATAACACACTTTCTTATTCTGTAAAATGAGTTAGTGATAGGTAGTGGGCATGGACACTGTGTTACCAATAATCTATAAAAAGAAGAGTGTAGATCTTTACAGAATCTTCTTAAATGTCCTCTCCAGTGAATACAAAAAAGTGGGTATCTGTGCCGAGGCAGTGAAGTTTAGCATAGTACAGATTCTCAACGTCCAAACAGATTCCTTATATGGAGTTGCATTTACAGATGTACACTATGTTACTCACCCCCCCCCCCTTTTTCAGGACTGATAAAAGTAATCTAAGTTTTCCAGCATGCACTCTGCTCTTGCAGGTCGTTCCTCAAGCACAGTAACTGGTGTCGGAGCAAGACCGTGGAGCTTGCTGACAGTTGTGTCCCAAAAGTGGCTTATCTTGTCAGAGACCGGACAGAGCTCATTGCTTACAACTCAAACACAAGTTAGGATGCATTTGCAGTCTGTTTGTGCTGGAGAGCCAGTGAAGTGCTCAGTTTGTGTGCCCAAGACGTCTGGGTCACGTTTTTCTGAAAGGTGAATCGCGTCAGATGTCATGTTAATTCCAAATGAATCCTTCTAGTGTACTCCAGACATGGTATTTTCAGAACTCGTCAATGGGAATCTTGCTGCTCCTGACTGTCTTCTGACGATTGCGGTGTGAGCGTGGGTTGTATTCAATACTCTGTTGCGGTTTCAGTTGAGATGGTTTTTTCGTTTCGTATGTAGATCTAATGCCGAGGAAGTAAGATCTCACACGGATGGTGATTGTTGAGAGGCCTCCGAGATGCAATACAGTGAATGCTAAGGTTTCACCTTTCCCTCTAAACGAAAGAAAAGCATCAAATCGATCCCCTTCAAATCATACCTGCTCGTAACAGGACATGCTGTGGATTAGAACATCATCAATGAAGTTTAGAAAACGAAAGAGCGGCTGCAACAAAATTAATACAACTGCTTGTCAGAGGAAGGCTGGTGCTCTTGGTTTTAAAAATAGATTGGGTCAGGCAGATTCAGAATCATGCTTCCGTGACTAGGATTCTTAAAAAGTATTCTACATCCAAGTTAAATAATCATTTCTTCAAAAATCCAATCCAAACACGCTGACAGGAAAAATAAACAAGGGCTACAACAGGCTACAGAATCTACTGATGGCTGCATTTCCCCAAGAGAACCTAGCGCTCTGAATTGGTTCAAGTGCAAAGCTTGAATTATTCATGTCACTGATTTTTGGACATGTCCTGTGGAGTAAAAAATCTGCGAATGTCTCATGGACATGTCCAGAAATCAAAGACACGAATAATTCAAGTTGGTTCGGATTATTAAACCATGTTGCCTCACTTCTTCATTTTTGATAGACTTATTGACAAGCACCTGAACTACCGGAAGAGCGAGGCCTGCCACGCAAAAGAAACTTTACCCTCCAGCTTCAATCGTCAACATGCTTCACGAAGGTGAGTAGGACGTTAAGCCCAGTTTCATCTCTTTCGCCATCACCACTCGTCCTGTCACATGGGGAAGACATTTGATGCCGGTACTTTGCAATCCAGAGGACCAGCCAAAATAACAGCTAGCTCCATGATCAAACAAGCTGTACATGTTTGCCATTGCCATTCAAAAACCGTGGAGGTGGTTTTCGATGCCAACGGATCATACAAACGTCATCACAACCATGAAGTGCAAGAGAGACATAAATAGCTCAGAAGGGTTGTGGTTGACCCACAAAACCAATGCCGACCCTGTTAGAAATTTTGAAACACTGCCATTTCAGAAAATGACAATCGTTTACTTCTACAGAGGACGAGCAAATACAATATTCAGAATTTTGAAGGAAATCGAAAGACCAATCTCCACACGGTCGCCGACGAACATTTTTACTACTTCAGAGATAACAATAGTCATGGGAAACGAAACTTGATCACCTGATACACTCTGCCGCAACTGCTTCCTTCAATACTCATGCAGACGTTTAGAACAGAGCAGGGTTAGACAACACAACAAACAATCTGCGTATGGTAAAATTCTAACAGTTTCAACGGCATCTGCTCTTGCACTAATCGAACTTGAATTTTTCATCTTCAGGTTATTCATCCCATGCAATATTGCAAAAATTCAAAATTCAAAATCGTCCTCAGAGCGGAACATACAAGTCACATGTTGGCAATCTGAAAATCCAGAATGTCGGCAGCACTCGTACCGAGTCATCTGCTCAGGTGAAAGTGCTTTATAACTGCTTTGTACACATAACATCGACGGTAGAAATGTTTTGAACCCAATACCACAAGCAGATGTGAGACGTGGGATATTGAGCATCATGACCACTATCAGCATCACAAGCACAAAATAAATTCAGGATGATAGGCTCGACTCACTGCATCTTAAGATCGACTGTGTGCTGGTACTTCCCAAGCTCTTGATGGTCCATGTTGTCCTCAACTTCTCATTGTAGTCCTGATCAGCATCAACCCTACCCCCAAACTTACTAAAGTGTCCTCGTCCATCGTTTGCCCTTGCACCACCTTCATTATCGGTGTTAGCACGACTTGCAACTTTCAAATCAGCCTTCTTTACACCCTTTATCTCAGCAGATTCGGGCGACACTTTCCCTCTCCCAGCCGAGGACGGCCCTGCTACAGGTGCCGTAGCCTCAGCTATCACATATCCTCCTTCTGAACCTGGCAGTAGGATGCCGATCTGTGAGCAATACAATACCAGAGATGTCATACCTCCGATTCTAAAACCAGCATTTCTGCAAAGTAAACTAACGCATGGCAAAAAAAGAAAAAAGAAAACGGAGTCCAAGTAACTGAGGAACGTGAAAAACGAAACTAAAGTTAATATTTCATTGCAACTGGTTAGTAGCTCAAAGAAACATAGGAAACTCTGAAGTGCAGTTTAAAATGCAAGTATGGAACACAGTTTCCTGAATCTGCGTTCGTCAAATCCGCATCAATGCCTATGGTTAAGAACTATTAGGGTGCCTTGGACTCGACATGGTGCGAAAACTTCAATGCCTGACCAGATACATCAGTATGACGCTTTCTACCAAATGCACCGCGAAAGAAACGAAAATATTGATCGGCATATATCTAAAACATAGACAAATATTTATCTATGTTTGTGCTGTGATGCCAACGCAGGCGGGCCCGGCGCTTCGTCGGGGTAGTGTGGGGATCTGTGGGTCGTCCTACCTCAGTTGGTTAAGCCGATTAGCACCACTTTTCTCAAGACCCTCTCCACCGAAGAGGACTGGACACTGGACTCAGCCCGTGCACACCTTGTCAACTCTACTATGCTCACCCTCCGAAAAGAAATTATATGTAAACACAATGGACAGAATCCATTACGAAGGTGATCCAATGCACTGTGGACCCATCAATGGCGCATCAAGGGAACAGGATCAATCTGCGAATGGTTTGTATTCATTCGATTGAATACAGAGATGGTTGGCATCAAACAAGCCTGAGACTGGAACTGGTACACGCTGCCCCCGGAGAGGGATAATCCTCCCCAACAAGGTTAGAGAAGATTGTGGAGGTCAACCCGGCCAATTAGCTGGCCTATCTCAAGGCACCATCCCGCCAGATACTACACCCATAGAACTACATGGTTGTTCTAATCAGTATAACTGCTTAGAACCGACCAACCACATAGAACCAGCTGATTGCGATGGTTGAACACCTCACCATCGCATCATACAACATTCAAGGCTTGGATGGAAACAGAAAGCGAAGAGAACTAGAAGACTTTTTTTTGCAACTGCATACCACAACCGGACATAATTCTACTACAAGAACACAAGCTCACCTTAGAGCAACCACGATAACTTGGATATACTCGAAGGGGGAACATGTATATTAATCTCCCCAAAAATCTCTATTAATCTTTGTAAACATGGCATCATTGTCAAAGGTAGAGCACAATTCATCACATTTCAACTACCACAGTAAGAAAAGATAGGCACAATTAATGTGTATGGGCACAATCATATGGACTCAAGAACAAGCCTTTTGATGAAGATTACAAGTTTCAACCTCCCAAAGGCCTAATGGATTTTAGCAGGAGGTTTTAATTGCTTAGAATCATTACATGACAAGCAACGAGGCTTACCCACAACAAGTCATTGATTATGAGTCACCAGATCGACTCATGGGTTGTTTTAGGATAAAAGAAGGCAAGACTAGTGTCAATTAGCAATCGTTAGTTGATGATGAGTGTAGAGGATGCTAAATGAAAACAAATAAAGTTAGTAGATTAATTCTGGTTATGTGTAGAAATCCTAGTAGAAAATCCCAATTTTAGAAAGCATCTTAGGAGCATCAATAGAAGCATCTTTTAGTATCTAGAAGGAATCTAGAATATTCAAGATTCTAGTATTACATAGTTGTATATGATCGGTTTATAGTCCAGATACAGCAATAGATATGATACAAAATATAGGGCGTACATAGTTGGAATATAGTAGTATACGAGTCAAAATGTAATAGTTATATAGTACAATATACAATAGCTATATAATAGAAATATGACAGGTATGCTACTGCATACAATACAGATATGAGGACTGATATGTGTGTTGGGTATGAGTATCAAAAAGGCATCCGGAATCGAGTATCAACCTAGCAAGTATCGGCCCCAAGGATTGTGCGCAACATCCAGGTGAATGAGGCCTCATTGCCGATGGGGGTCCAGGCCACCCCGAACCAGGTTTAGGTTCAGAGTTTAGGTTTCCTTCTTCTTTCATTTTTGAGGGTCCAGGTTAGGGTTTAGGTTCACTTCTTCTTTTATTTTTATTTTTTGTTTATTTTTTATCCTATTTTTTTATTTTATACTTTGTGCGTGAGCTTCGACACCTACGGCGTTGTTCTCTTCTTTGGTGTACTGTGGAGGAGCTCGGAGCTTGGTGAAGAGGGTGCTACAGTGCAACTCAAGTTTCGATAATTCCTTCGTGTGACGGTGGTGGCGTAAAGTCGATTATCGACAGCCACAAGTTTTTTTTGTCTTCCTTTTGTTAAACTTCCGGGTAGCCACTGTTATGGCATCCTACATGTAGTCGTGATGTCCTTGCTAGTGCAACACTCTAGCAGTGATCCGTGGTGGATCAGTTCACGGATCCTTTCCACATTTTTATTGCTGCTCATTCAGCTAGAGCTAGCATTGTGAGAGGACTGCATTGACTCGTTGGTAAGTGACTTATGAACTCGTACCTGCAGTAGACTATCTCTGTGGTTCTGTAGTGGAAGCAAAATCTAATTTTAGTTTGTTACAGTAGAAGGCTGGTATCGCGTGGCTCTCTTGCGGTGCGGCATTGATTCATTTGGTTCAGCAAGGCTGCGGGGTTACGATGAGGGCGATTGGTTTTGGTTTGTCTTTGTTTTTATTGATTCAACACTACGTCTTCAAAACTTTGCGACTGAACAAGGGAGTTGAATCTCCTTGCGTCACATGGTTGTAATTCATTGCTAGCGGCACTTGTGCCAGTAGTTCTTAATTGATATTACCTCCGTAGTTCAGTGCCGTCTTCTTCCTTCCCTCAGCATTAGTGGCGCTGTGAAGAAGGGTGGACTTGAAGCTCGTAGACTCTCTTTAATAATCTATAGTGGTTGTATGCACTAAGGCCTCTTCAAGTTGGCGGAATCCAAAGTGAGGCGTGGTGTCAATGTTGGAAGTCATCATCATATTCAAAAGCATTGTTGATTAGTTGCTACGCGGTTGAGTAGTTGTGTCGAATCCAATTTGGATTCCTTAGTCAAGTCAAACTAGTGGAGTTCAAACTATCGATGAGACTCGACGCTTCCAAGACAAGTGCTGTTGAACTGATTCAAGTCGTCGTTATATTTGCGTTGTTGCAACCAATACTCAATCAGGACAATTTGTGGTGCCTTGCTCCAATTCTATCTCATTTGCAATACATTAGTAATATCTTAAGTAGTAAGAAGAACTGTAGCGGTAACAAAGGTATACAATATAGTTGTAGTAAGAGTAGACGTAGGAAGCTTAGAAAGTATTGGTAATATTTAGTACAAATCCACATTCATAGCGATGGTGCGTGGTTAGTACGGCGGTACTGTAAAGGTCAGTTTTAGTATTGCTTTTATTTTAGTTCTATTTTGTCGATCTAGCATCATAAGCAACAATTCATAAGATAGCAAGTGAGCAAAGAAAGACCAAGCCGAAGCATCTGAGCTCACATCTTGAGAATTGGTGATTAAGCTGCTATGACTAAGGTGTTTGACAAGATTGTTCATGAGGCCAACTATGGCTGCGCATGCTTCTAATAATAAGAACTGTCCGAACGATTGTTGTAGCCAAATTCAAATGTGGGACTGGCGCAAGGACGGATGGTCGGAGTGAAGGTTCAAAGGTGATTGAATTTGGGGACACTCTCAAGCCTTTGTGCGGATTTATCAATGATGCTTTTGTTCTCTATGAGAATTTACAATGGTGGTATGTATAAACAATCAAGTGAATTTAAATACAATTAAAACCAAGTAATTAGGATTGATGTTAAATTAGATTTGGACAACTATTTTGGATGAAATTGATGACAAATTTGAAGCAAGTTGGATGAAAAACTTTTGCAGATGAATTTAGTTGAAATTATTGGATGATAAATTGTAAATGGAAGTTGGTTATTAGTGAAGAATTTTTATTTGTGGATGAAAATTTATCTCAGATGAAATTTAATCTTAGATGATTTATTATTATTAGAAGGAAATAATTATATTAAAATTAAACCATGTAAAATAAAATTTAACTAAAGTTTGTCTTAGAATCCAAGATGTATACAACCCAGGAGAATTTTTCCATACTATTAAGAAATAATTCACATCAGATAATCAAAGACCAGGACCAAGAATTAATTGTACATACATATCAAAAGAATTAATTGAGAGGAGAAGAATGATAAGAATATGGCCCACAAATCTTCATATCAAATCATACATATATTTTTTTAAAAATTAAAGAAAAAAGTAGAAGGCTACCTAGGATCCCAACATTTGATAAACACCTACTTATAATATAAGATTGAAGAAATATACTCATTAAAGCTGGGAAAGAAGTAATTACCACCTACTACCACTTAAGTTGGAATTTTAGAGTTCTTGAGGTTTTACATACAATCCAACTTAAGAATTTAGAAATTAAAAGACAAGAGAAGAATGAATGATTTAAAATCTATGAAAATTAAATTAAAGATATGGTAAAGTTTGAATTCATACTCCAAAAAGATTTGAATAATCAAGTAGTTAGAGATATAGTGAATGCAACTCAATTCTAGCTATAAGCAATACAATATTATAGACTAGTAAAATAATTTGATCAACAAGCTACAAAATGAATAAGAGTTGAAGATAGATGTACAAGTGAATTTTTTGACTTTTTCAATTCTAAGATAAACAATAAATCTTCTAAGATCAAAGAATTCAATGACAATGGCCATATTTTACAAAGACAATTTGATATGGCTACATATGTATAATGATTTTATTTAGAATTCTATGATAAAGATTAAGTTGTAAAAAAAAATATCCAAGCTCGAGAAGAATGCCTTTCAAACATATTTTATCTAATAATGGCTGAATAAAATACATAATTAAAAAAATTAATCTATATATCAAAAATAGAGCATGAAAGAGAATCTTCACCTACCTTTATACCAATTAATTCTTTGGTTCAACCAAGGGATTTATCAATTGTAATTCTAAAAGATTTACAAGCAACTTCCATGCCTCATAACCTCTTTATATTTAAAAAAAATTAAAGATGATGATCTATTAATATATATAGAAAATTTTATGAAACTTTTCATGACATATTTATTAACCAATTTTTATTATTATCTTGTATAGTTTTTTAGTATTCTAAAGAATAGGGCTTATGAATAGTATAGAAACTATCTCCGTTAAACCTTTAAAAAATTGGACATAGTCATGAGAGCATTTCTAAAAAAGTTTGGATCAGAAGTAGAGCAAAGAATAGCCTTCTTAATCCTTTCTTCTTTGAGGCAAGGGAAAGAAGAAGAGATTACTGAATACATTTGACAATTTCAACTTGTAGTAACCTAATTCATAAGAACTCTTTTTACAAATGACACCCTCCTCCACTTTTTCATTCAAGGATTCAACAATCAAGAGACAATAAGATAGATTCTTAAGGGAAGATTGAACAATTTAGATGATACTATCAAGAAGGTAAGCCTCCTTAGGAGAACATGAGATCCTTGATTACAAATAATTTATAAAAAACATAATGTTGCAAAAATGAATTAAAATATAAAAAGGTAGTTTAAAGGCTGAGTACAAATTTTAGATTAATTTTTTTACTTGTACCAAGATGTATCAACCCCTAACTCTAATTTCAAATCCCAACCTCCTCTCACTAAAATATCTATAATTTATTTATTATTAATCCAATCTATGCAAAATTTAGATCATTAAGCTTAATTTAAGCTATAAACTTCAAAAATATTATAGTCAATAAATAAGTTTCAAAAAATATGAAAACCAAACTAAGAAAAAGTTGGTTGCTTGCTAAAGCTGCAACCTTTAAAAATCCCCTCTATAAATTTATTTAGTTCTTCCTTGTCATAGCTTTATTTCTTATATATCATACCTTATTAGAAAGCTAAAAATAAGATCAAGCTTTTTTCTAAATTTCAACATAAAAAAAAATCCAATAAAAGGCATAGAAAATTCCAAACTAGTTTTGAAATTTGCTGCCTAAAAACTCTAGCAACCTTCTTTTATAAATTTGCATAGATCTCCCTTGTTACAACTCTTCTTGTTATATGCTAAGGCTTGCTGAAAAGCTAACAATAAGATCTAGATTTTTTCAAAATTTTGAAATAAAAAGATAAAAATTCAATAAATGGCATAGAAAATTCCAAACCAATCTTGAATCTCCTCACCAAAATATTCTAGCCACCCCCCCGCCCACAAATTTGCATAGATCTCCCTTGTCATATCTTCATTTCTTGCATACTAAAACTTATTTGAAAGCTAAGAATAAAATTTATCCTCTTTTAAAATCTCAATATAAAGTAATAAAAATCCAATAAATGGCATGAAAAATCCAAAATCAGTCTTAAAACTTGCCACAAAAAAATCCTAACAACCCCCCTTCTAGATACACCTACCTAAGCAAAAAAACCCTACTTAATGCAAATTCCTTTTTCCTCCCCTCTCCTCCCTCCTCTTTCTTAACCTTCTTCCAATATCTACCTTGAATTCCTATAAAGTTGGGTATCTACCTTAAAAGACAATATCCTCAAAGCTTAAATAATCCGTTTGAGGCAATATTTCATATTCTAAATTCCATTCAAATTCATAAATATATTAGTATTACATTTCTTCTCTCTTATAAGTAAAACTAAAAATCTTTGATGTACTTAAGTTAATTTCATTAAGACAACACCAAAAAGATAGCCTAGTATCATATAATAATATAGCCATTAAGTAAAAATTGAAAGAATATATTTAATTATAGAAGAACTTAATTAAAAATATATAATAAAAAATAGATAAATGATATCCACTTAGTAAAATCTATTAGTATTAGAATTGACTTTTATAAAAATATATTCTATTTACTTTATAGAGCCATAAATAAAATAAAATAAGGTAGATTAAAAAAATAAAGGATATAGGCATATGTAGAAGGGAGTTAGGAATTGGTGTTAGCAAAATTTACCTCAAGAAGACAAAAATTGATACTTGGAGAGGATTGGTTGCTAACCAAGATTGAAATCAGATCCCAAGGCACAAAATCGAGTACCTATGGTGATTTTGAGGTTCTTTTGCATATCAAAGAGTAGAATTTGAGAGCAAACTTGAGGAGAGATTTTGGAGTATTAGTTTTATATTTTTTAAATTAATATTAAAATTTTGAAGAATTTTCAAATTTAATATTATATTTGGTGGATTTAGATATTAAAAAATAAAAATGCGTTTACAAATTTGAGGATTTCTTCAATTTTGTAGCATGTGTACAAATGAAAATTAGACAGTTTGTTATTGTGCTTGTTATAAATGTGTGTAAGAAATTTGAAGTCAATCAAGTGGTTAGATTGAAGCATATGAGGATTTTTGAGGATTATAATCTTAAAAATTTGAGATTTAGGATTAGTAAGTGATTTCCTAATCTAACAATATCTACTAATTGAATTGAAGTAAAATTTGGTTAAAACAATTAAGACTTGAATATCTTAATACAATCCAATTTTTGGAGCAATTGAATAATTTAGCAAGGAGAAATTGGTGTTGAAAGATCAACATTCAAATCAAAGAAAGAAGATGGCCAATGACTAGGAGGTTTTGGAAGCTTTTCTTGCAATTGGTAAGTCCAATTCTTCTCAAATTTTGTATGCTTATTAATTGCTTATTTATTAAAGTTTGAGTGAAATTTTAGCTAAGATCTATGATTCAATTAATATTCATTGAAGTTTCAAATAGCTACAATAATTTATTAAAATTTACTTGGAATTTTCTTAGAATTATTTAAGATTTAGGATTTTATTAGGATTTGGTCTAAGATTAGGATTTAGGATTTTTCAAGGATTTAATTAGGATTTATTCAAGATTTGATTAGGATTTATTTAAGATTTAGGAATTCACTAAGATTTGGTTAGAATTGGTTTAGGATTTTATTAGGATTTGTTGAAGGTTACATTATGATTTGATTAGAATCTAATTATGATTTCTATTTTTTTTATTTTTTATTTAATTGTATATGGCATTAGATCAATGAAGACATGGATAAGAAATAAGAGAGAATGTAGAAGTAGGAAGACCATAGAATTTCAAGTTTTATCCTTATCCATGTCCAAATCATTATTCCTAGGGGTATTTGTAGGGAAATGTGAAAAATCAATTCAAATCCATCAACCACTATTTGATACCTTTAGAGATTAGATTACTCCTCAACTTCTTTAAATTATCATACCTTGAGGATAGAAATAGACAAAAGAAAGAATTTAAGAATGAAGTCCTTCAAAGCCATTAGGGATTTCAAAATGAATTGACTCAATATATAAAGGTAATATAAGAACAAATGTCTCTTTTAATTGAGAGTCAAATCCCAAATCAAGTTCTATCTCTCACAAAATCTGATAGGCACACTTTCTGATTCTAATACACTCAATTAATCAATTGAAGCATATAAATGAATTTTACTCAAACTAGCAAAATTACTAACAAAACATAAAAAGATAAGAGTCATATATTTCCTCCTATAGAAACCAAACTAATATAAGATCCAATTTTCAACCTCAACCTCAAAAAAATCCTGATCAAAACTTTAGGAACTGGTTACAACAATGGCAAAAAATATACAACTATTGTAGGAAAAGACACTCATTAGGTAGTTG